TCTTCTTCTTCTTCTTCTTCTTCTTCTTCATCTTCTTCTTCTTCTTCTTCTTCTTCTTCTTCTTCTTCTCCATCTTCTTCTTCTTCTTCAACTTCTCCAGTTCTTCCTCTTCTTTTATCACTACGACAATGACACTCACTCATAGCTGGGACATAAGGCCATACAACATCAACAACAACATCTTTATTTTCTTCTTACAAATATGAATATTTAACGTTTGTAGCAAATTTAATATGTTACATGGCACGTTACAAATAAGGTGACAATTGTAATCTTGTTTTAATGAGACTGGAGACTTAATGAACCGTTAAGTTTTCAAGTTAGCCTTCAGCCTAGTTATGGATCAATTGTTAGACAGGAGAGATGAAGGAAGAATTTACAGTTTACAGTTAAGTTCATGGGAGACTAAAAAATAAAAACAAAACAAAAATAGCAATAACTATATAACTATATTCATAGTATAAATTAAAAGGCATCGGTTCACTGTTTATCAACACGATTTGATGTATGTTACATTTTTGATTGAACAGATTTTCAAAGGGAACACAGGTCCTTACAACACAGCTGAAGTTGAGCTGGTCAAACCAGTCTATACCCGTTATGTTCGTTTGTATCCCCAGTCCTGGGAGGATGGCGTGGCGCTTAAACTAGAGCTGTTTGGGTGCAGACCAGAATAAATTACGCGTCTCCGTGGAAACTATATACGAATAATTTGAAAGGGCTTACTACCTCCTGCACACTTGTCACGGTTAATGACTGCATATCAATAAATCACATTGCAAGTAAATTTACCAACAGGCTCATTTATTTTATTTTTATTTTGTTTCTTATTCTTCAATTGCATCCTAAGTGAAGTTAATGTGGAGATAACGAAAGTGCGCAACCTGCAACACAGCTTTTTCTTTATATTTGGGGGATGTTTTTGTACGTTCCCTATCAATCCTCTTCAATTCAGACATTGTACCAACAAACACTTTGAAGCGGCCGTTAAACTGGGGTAAAGTATCACAAAGAACAAGTCTTGTCCCACCCAGTTCCCGTCCCGTCCCAAATCGTTTCGTCTCTTCTTTTTTTGTTTTGTCTTGTCTTGTCTTGTCAGCGTACATTGTGATGGTTGTTACGGGAGCTAAAAACTTTATTTGCTGTATTCATTACACAGAAATCTTCAACCAATTCCAAAGCTGAACGGTTCGGAATTGACTCAAGCTGGGTGCGTGCTATCGCAAACGTTTTGGTCTTGTTGTTTGTTCGTTCGTTTATTTGTTTGCTTGTTTGTTCGTTCGTTCGTTCGTTTGCTTGTTTGTTTGTATGTTTGTTTGCTTGTTTGCTGCTTTTCGTTCACCTTTTATTGCACACAGAAACGTGCGAGACCAAAATCAGTCGACAACACTATCATAATCAATTTAATTTAATTTATAGCCCCTGGTGAATCTGAGGAACACAATCGTGTCTCATTCAGGACAGGGGGTGTTTTCACATGATTATGAATTTCAATTACGATGTTTGTCGCTCAACATCATATGTTTACCAGGACAATACATCTTTGAATAAATATTCCAATTTCACAACATGATCCTGAGAAAACACAAAACGGAGAGCCTTATCTTTTTCATCAATGTCAGCGAAGAGTCGTCCAGCTAAAATCAAGCAGTGCCAGGAAAACATTCTACAATAAAAAGCAACCCAATTTATACTGTACATTTATATTTGCATCTTAGTCGGTTTATAAATTACCTGCGTCATTCATATGGGGTTTATAGAATACAAACTGGTAAATCGGGTAATACCACTGATTATTGCACGCTATCTCAAACACAAATATTGCATCGGGGAGCAGACTCTTCAGTTTAATTTCAGCATTCACCAACGCAAAAATAATTGTTTCGAAATCCGTCGGGTGTGGTAATCTATAACGAAATAGCTAACATGAGCGAAGAGTCGTCCAGCATCATGCCTGTCCGTGGTGACATTTTACTTGGCTTAATTGTTATTGACTTCGTATCTGGTACAATAATAGCCGTAGCAAACGGCTTTCTTTTTATCACGATCTACCGTGATCCCTGCCAATGCTTGCGCACGCCATCTGTATTTCTCATCGCAAACCTTTCCGTTGCGGATTTCTTCATGGGAGTTGTCAGCTACCTTAGAGCCATCGAATTGATCCACAGGTACTTTAGCTTGGGAAACCTTGTTATTTCCATTCTTAACATGATAGAATATTTCATCGGAGCTGTGTCCATTCTCGTCGCCGTCTCAACGCTTATGGCCATGTCATATGATCGCTATATTGCGGTTATTAAACCGTTCCAATACCCACAGAAGATTAACAACACAAGAGCCAAGGTTGCTATCGCCATCATTTGGATAAACGCATTGGTTATGTGCGTCCTTCCGATTGCCGATGTGAAGAGGGAAAATTTTTTGTTGGCCTACTGTTATTCACATTTTGTGATTCCCTCATTTATTTTAACAGCAGTTTATGTGAAAATATATAAAATGATCGCTCGCCAAAGACAAGAACTTAAAGATGTCCGAGCGAGTCTGACAGCAGCAAGCAGAAGAAAACAATTAGAGAGAGAAAACAGGATGGCCATCACGTTCGTGTTGATCCTTTTCATTTTTTATTTTTCATTTTTACCTTACTTTATAAACATACAAATTCTATATTTTTGCTCCTGTCGAAGTTCTTACGCTTACAACGTATACCACTACATTGCGAATGAATTTCTCTCACTGAGTTCTACCATAAATCCTTTTATGTACGCTTGGAGACTACCAATGTTTAACCGCTCGCTTCGCTTGTGTTTTCGACGGCGGAAAAACAATAATGTTATAGCGACATGGAACGGAACAAACTCCAACCAAAACTGATTCACTGACCTAAAAGAGGGGTCCAGCCGACAAGAACTATTACTAATGACTGAATAAATTCGCGAGATTTTAGAATAGTCTAGAAATATAAGCTCTTTGGCAGTATACAATTTTCCCCACTTTTCACTCCATTGACCACTCTAACAAGAATTTTGCGTGGTATGCAATATCAACAACAACAATACTTTATTTAAACACGATTTTGTCTTAAAGCGACAGGTTTGATCGTGGGTTCGAGTATATAGCTACAAAATTTAAGAAAACTTAAATATGTGCAGTAATAAAAAGGATTATATACGTATTCATTCATATTAATAAAACTTAAAATCCGTTACGTTCTTGCATTGCGTTTACGTTGCATGCATACATTAGTGGCACCAGTTTACTGCAGAAAAGTGGTATTTTTCTTCTTTATTTCTGATGTGATTCATAAAACACAGAAATCAATAAGTTTTGATTGCTATATCCTACTTGTAATGTTTTCTTACAACGTTAAACAACTTTTAATCAATCTCCGACGGTTACATTCGCATAAAGCACAGGAATAACAGAATAATTTAAACGAAAAAAACAGTTGTTTCAATAGCAATAGCAAATCACTACCACCAATGGGTGGCCTAAATAACTATTCTTGTGAACATCTGTGCATTCATTAAAGTTCAAACGACAACCGTCAAATGTTGAATTTCATAACAACGCTGAACAACGTGGACTTTGAATGTATTTATTTGTAACTCGATGAAGAAGTCAGTCGTCTTCATTAAACATCTGATCTGTATAAGTCAAACTTACCTTTACTAATGAAGTTCAAGCTTTAGATAAACTAGATGGTACAAAAAGCTTTCACGAACATCAGATACCGCCTGTTTTTTGAGTAGCCCAATATATACATTTTAACTGTTAGTAAGAGTTATCACTGCAAAACATTTAGTTAAAGAGGTCCACTTAGTGTTATGTTTTGAATGTTGTTAATGTAAACAAAATCAAGAAAATCACAACACAGCAAACAAATCTAACAAAACAAGCTCTTGAGTAAACAATGGAGAGACAAAAATCCGCCACAAGCCACACTACTATGGCTGAAGCCCCATTTTTCCAACTAAGACACATTTTTCCAAGCTTCACTCATTTTTCCAAGTGTTGCTCTTTTCCCCAAGTATGACCCATTTTTGCTAGTGTTAACACCTTTTTTCTCAAGTCTGATACATCTTTTTAAAGTATGACTAGCTTTGACCCAGGTAGACCCAGTTTTCCAAGTGTGACCGACTTTTCAAATTGTGACCCATTTTTCCAGGTAATACCTATTTTTCCAAGCTTGACCCATTTTCCCAAGTGGCACCCATTTTTCCAATTATGACCCATTTTTCCAAGTGTGCCGTATTTTTCCAAGTGTGCCGCATTTTTCCAAGTGTGCCGCATTTTTTCAAGTGTGACCCATTTTTCCAAGTGTGACCCATTTTTCCAAGTGTGACCCATTTTTCCAAGTGTGACCCATTTGTCCAAGTATCACCCATTTTTTCAGGTGTTACCCATTTGTTCAGGTGTTACCCATTTGTTTAGGTGTGACCCATTTTTCCAAGTGTGACCCATTTTTCCAAGTTTGACCCATTTTTCCAAGTGTGCCATATTTTTCCAATTGTGCCGCATTTTTCCAAGTGTGCCGCATTTTTCCAAGGGTGCCGAATTTTTCCAGGTGTATCGCATTTTTCCAAGTGTGACCCATTTTTCCAAGTGTACCGCATTTTTCGAAGTGTGACCCATTTTCGAAGTGTGATGACCCATTTTTCCAAGTGTGCCGCATTTTTTCAAGTGTGCCGCATTTTTTCAAGTGTGCCGCATTTTTCCAAGTGTGACCCATTTTTCCAAGTGTGCTACATTTTTTCAACTGTGACCAATTTTTCCAAGTGTGTCGCATTTTTCCAAGTCTGCTGCATTTTTCCAAGGGTACCGAATTTTTCCAAGTGTGCCGCATTTTTTCAAGTGTGACCCATTTTTTCAAGTGTACCGCATTTTTTCAAGTGTGTCGCATTTTTCCAAGTGTGGCCCATTTTTCCAAGTGTGCCACATTTTTCCAACTGTGACCAATTTTTCTAAGTGTGCCGCATTTTTCCAAGTCTGCTGCATTTTTCCAAGGGTACCGAATTTTTCGAAGTGTGCCGCATTTTGCCAAGTATGACCCATTTTTCCAAATGTACCGCATTTTTCCAAGTATCACCCATTTGTTCCGGTTTGACCCATTTGTCCAGGTGTGACCCATATTTCAGAGTGTGACCCATTTTTCCAAGTGTGACCCATTTTTCCAAGCGTGGCGCATTTTTTTCAAGTGTGTCACAAGGTGACAAGTGATTATGAACAGAACTAAACAAACAAATTAAGATATCAAGTATAAGATCTGCGTCATCGTGTCTTCGTAGTAAGACTTATGGTTGGCTATATTCCATATTGTTGCCAGGTTGTGTCAGACAAGGGCTGTTTCCGGGCTATTAATAATACTCAAGTTTTCGTAATTTTAAATTTTGCGACCTGGAGCGCTTACCATTTGAATGGACTTTCCCGAGGAATCTTTTGGACAAATGGAACTGCAGTATTCCTCTCCAAGGAAATGGATCGCATTGAGCCGTACCATTTGATCCTAAGTTTGGAGATATCCGTGCGGGGGCCTGGACAACAACAAAGATGGCGGCCGAACTTGCTGTGCCGTTAGACGTTTTAGCAGACGACAACTTTGAAAATGATTTCTTTGGAAACGAAGAGGACGACTTCATTCTTCTTGCTGCAGCATCCAAATTTGCAAAGAGAAATTTGAATCGAATCCAGGGATTTTTTGAGCAGACGATACCTACGTATTCTTCGGATGAATTAAAAGCCCATTTCCGTATGCAGAGAGTAACTTCCTTCTCACCCGCAGTGCTACAGCGGTGTTGCAAGGATACCGAGAACAGTGGTGACGAAAATAAACATCTGTCACAGCCATAAATGGTCTGCATCTGCAGAGATTCATCATTCGCCATCTTACATTTCTTCTCGGAAATATTGCCGCAAGGAGCCTGGCATATAGTTATTGACAAATGGTACGGAAATTTTCGGAAATTCCGGTTGAATCGGAAAAAAAGTAATACCTCGGAAGGTATTACCTTTTTCCCGAAAAAAATTCAACGGAATGAACCGTACCATTTGGATTCACACCAGAATAACTGGCTTTTCCATGCAAATGGTAAGTGCTCCTGATATGCACGTCGCCCTGGTATTTTCGTTCAGTGACGCTGGTCAGTCTGGGGCTGTGGCGCCGCTGTTCGGTGTGCCTTTTCTTTCGAGAGTTCCGCCAGCGTCTTGGTGGGGCTTCCACATTGTTGTGGCTTGTGGCGAAAGTTTTAACCCCACCTTTTCTGAAGAGATTTTAATCTTTGTTTGTAACCTTAGTTTCAATTAAACTCGTCACATTTGTGGCCATTTATCCCAAACGATTTGTTTCTACTGTCGCCTACCTATCTCTTCAGCAAACTAGTGCGACGCCTTGCGGGGCTCTCGATGCCTTAATGTTTGCAAATGATTCAAGATAAAAGTTAACTTTGACTTAGAAGAGCGCCAATCAAATAACAAGGTGACAAGTGATTGTGAACAGAACTAAACAAACAAATTTAAAAGGTATCAATGTCTGCCAAGAAGCAGCTTAATTTCTGACCTACTCAACAGGCACAACCACGAAATAAAAACGATATTACCGTACCTAATATTTGATGCTGAAACTCAGCAAGTATACGTAGCAGCCCAATTGCCTGACCTACTTACCAAAAATTCAACAGCTATCTTAATTAATTAATTAATTAATTAATTAATTAATTAGCGTAAAGAACCTCCTACCTCAAATAGACTTTAAGTGCGTCTGATTTCCAACGACCAAGAGCACGGATTTGCGCATCGGAATATCCTTGTTTAGCAGCGTGGCGCGCGCCACCGATACGAAAGCTATGGCTTTTGTACCGACTGGTGTCAAGACCACAATATGCTAAGCACGACATTGAATTGATGAGCCGAAATGGAAGTCAGATCAGCGTAACAAAAGAGCGGGCCAGGACGATCTCCCCAAACCTTACAATAAAATACCCTCGAAACAACGTCCCCAAATCCCATGGGCTCGGTTTGGCGTACCTGGTACAACCTTACCCAACGGATTATCACGTGCGCACCATGCCTTGACATAAATTACATTATGTCTGGCCATTATGTCTGGTTATTACAAGCCAAATTTAACGGAATTTTACCGAAGGAGATCTGAGAAAATTCACTGTCGGCTTCACTTTTTGTACTCATGTGACGTCATAAAATATCGAAAAACAATGACGTAATCACTGACATAAAAAACATTGACACGTAGTTTTTTGAGTCTTCCTACATTGGAGCTTTTCAGGAACAATAAATTAAAATCTGCAGTGGTCGGTTAATATACATTTAAATGATAAAATATGTACAATTGAATGAAAACTAAGATTGCATCGTAAATTTAATTTTAAAAAATCATTAGGGACATTTAAAGAATTCGTCGAGATGCTAAGACGCTTAAAACTAATTTTCTTAATAGCTGATGTCGCAGGGTTGCTACCGTTTGGCAATGTTTTAAGGTCAGCTCTAAAGAGTTACTGGGGAAATTAAATTCACAGCTCTAAACTTCCGTGCAGAACATGAAAACAAACAGGGTTACGAAAAAGTGAAGTGTGTTCCTCCTTGCCAATCTATTTACGAGCTGTAGTCAAAACATTTTGTTTTTTTTAGTAAATAATTTTATGATCTAGTCAGCATCCAAAAATGAGTTTATATTTGTAAAATTATGTTCTCTTAATCTAAGAAACACAGCTGCCGTGGAAGACATTTTTTGGATAACAGCTGGTAATTTTCTCATAAGCGTGAATTTAAATTTTTTCATTTGACAGTTTGTCTCCGCAGTTGAAATAATTTCTTTTTCGTAACAATGCCTCTTCAGAATAAGTCACTTTCGTTGTCTCCAGGAAACAGAGGGTAATTGAAAAGAATTTTGATTAAAGAACCAAACTATAGAGCTAATCTACAAATTAATGGGCTTCAAGTCAAACAGAGAGGATAATTCAGTCAATCTGTCAAATTTATTTCTACGGTTTATTTTAATATTGTTGCCGCAAGCCACTTTTAATGACTTTTTATCAACAAATGAGGTATTCGAGGCACGTTTACAAGAGAAATCGCCAATCTGGTCGAGTCATCGCTTGATATTTAGTACAGGTGCCATGTAGCAGTGTCCATTGCAAACGATCTACAAAATTAGATATTACATCAGAAAGAACTTATCTGAAAATTTCAACTTTTACTGACGAAAGCATATCTTGAATTTGCTCCGAAGTCCATCGCGTGCGATATTCTAAAGCAGGGCAAACAACTCTGCCATGAATTCAACACCATCAAGTACTGCCAGCGAGCAGCTAGAAGGCACGGGGCAAGTCCGCGGTGGTGAACTTCTGGCGTTCATCATTTTTGACTTGCTGTTTGGTACAGTGATCACCGCAGCAAACGGCTTTCTCTTCGTCGCGATCTACCGTGATCCTTGTCGATGTTTGCGAACGCCATCTGTATTCCTCATCGCAAACCTTTCCGTCGCGGATTTTTTTATGGGAATTGTCAGCTACCTTAGAGCCGCGGAACTAACTTATCTTTACTGTGGCTTGGGGGATCTTCTCATTCTAAACATGATAGAATATTTCCTCGGAGCTGTGTCCATTCTCGTCGCCGTCTCAACGCTCATGGCCATGTCATATGATCGCTATATTGCGGTTATCAAGCCGTTTCAATACCCACAAAAGATTAACAACTCAAGAGCCAAGGTTGCTATCGCCATCATTTGGATAAACGCTTTGATTATGTGCGTCCTTCCAATTGCGGATGTGAAAAGGGAAAATTTTTTGTTGGCCTACAGTTATTCTCATTTCGTGATTCCATCATTTATTTTAACAGCAGTTTATGTGAAAATATATAAAATGGTCGCTCGTCAAAGGCAAGAACTTAAAGATGTCCGAGCGAGTCTGACAGCAGCAAACAGAAGGAAACAATTAGAGAGAGAAAACAGGATGGCCATCACGTTCGTGTTGATCCTTTGTATATTTTATTGTTCATTTTTACCTTACTTTATTCACGTACAAATTCTATATTTTTGTTCTTGCCGAAGCTCTTATGCATATAATGCGTATTATCTTGTTGCGAACGAATTTCTTTCCGTCAGTTGCATTGTAGACCCTTTTATGTATGCACTGAGGCTGCCAAGATTCAAACGCTCTCTTCGTTTGTGGTGGAGAAACAGAGATGCTGTGGTCCCGTGGAACGGGACTAGTGTTGATCAAAACGTAGCCATTACCCAATAAGAGAAAACTGCAAAATGGAACTTGGCATGCGACGGTGGATGAATACGCGATACTTTCTTCAAGTACTGATGAAGACCGCAAGACACGCTCTTATTTATTCCCCATAGGCCGCATAATTTATGCATTTCTGAGAGGCAGTTGCCTTTTGGAATATGAACAACATACACTTGAAAAAACATTCCTACATGTTGACATGGCTACATTGACAACAAAATCAGTAACTGTCTGGCGGTGTGCGTTTATTTTCCAATCCTCTTCAGTAGAGGATGCTTTCAATTTCGAATCTCCCCCAAGGCCTAATGAATATTTTAAGTTTCATCTCTAAATAGCTAAAATATTATTAAATTCCTGTGTTCCCATTTCAGTTCTCTTCTTGTATATTTTTGCTTGACAGAAAAAAAAAAGATGTTGTGCATTCCCAAATGTAACAAAGTTTTCACAAGGAATAACTAGATTGCACAAGAGCCAGTTTTAAAACCCATTCATTTGGATTCCCCAGTTGTTAGCGGTGGAATTCCCCTTACGTTACCTAGGACTTATTGGTATTAAAAGGACGACAATTTTACTTTTTATTAAAAATTGCAAGTCGCTCTCTTTCTTGCAAGGATATCCGGTGGGTTCTCGGTATAATTATATTCCTGATGATGCAGGTGAAGTGAGCTGAAACACCAATTTGGATAAGCTTCCTACCAAACCCAAGAAAAGTCTCTTTATTCAGTCTGCTTTCTTGGGTGTCGATGGATTCTCTCTCGGGAGACGAATTGAAATGTAGGGAAAAATGATTCTGAGCAACTGAAAGTTAAGAGGATTGTTGTTAAAGGCCGAATTCCTAGAGTAAGCTGTCGCCTTTGGATGATGTGGCAATGTTTAAGAACATCAGGAAAATAACAAATGATAAACAATACCTTTGTTATTCAATCTTTGTTTTAGAAGGTTTCTGGTGCCATAAACTTATTGACAATATTTTTACTCATTCTGATTATGAAAAAGTTACCGATAGTTGGTTTATTAACAACCTTCTCAATAACTCTCTCAAAACTCGTTGAAAGGTTTCCGACATTCTAATTTTTTAATAGTTTTAGCGCGGAGAGCATTTTTATTTAATTAGTTTTGAGCAGTTTTATTGTTTGAAAAGAACCTCTCGATCTCTTGTTCATTTTTTTACTAATGTGCGCAGCCTTTTTCTGTTTTTTTGCGGATAAATTTTTGTTATTAACGTTTTACTGGAAGCGCACAATATGTCCATGTTTTTAAAGCAAGCCGAATAAACATTTGAGGGAAAAGTGAGACGGGCTTAATTACGAAACTGGTTTCCATATTTCGTTTAAAACTATACAATCCTAAATCAGTATCAGTTCAACTCTCATTTTTAAGATATTAGTGAAATTAGACTTAGACGGAAGCCAATTTATACTACTTTATTGAAAACACTGTTCTTTTGAGTACGTTGGTGGATTTTTCTGGTGAATAAAATCACTGTCTCTTATATTCATTCACTTTGCACGATTGTTATATTTGCACCTCTGAAAAACTATAGCCCATCTCAGAATGATTTGGGAAAAGAAATTTCTTGAAAGTAATTGATTGAAAATAACGGGTGCTGCTATGAGAAATAAAACAGGCTGCTAACCGTGTTAACAATATCTATGGCGCTTCTACTTTCACTCGGCTACAGTGTATTCTTTATTGATAAATAAGGCAGACAGTTTATACTCAGTGCTAGGTGTAAAGTATTCACTATAAATTTTAAGTGATCTACTTAGCTCTAATTGAAAGCTATGTTTAGAAACACGGCCTTACCGGAGTTGACGACGTAAACAAAACATTTAATTATTAATATCACTATTTATTTCAGGACTGTGCTCATAACAGGTTTTGAATTGTTAATCGCACTCTCAGTATAGACTGTTTCTAAAGGCGTTGTTTTCAAAACGTTTCCGACATTCCCTGTGGTCAATAATTTTAGCGCGGAAGGTCAGTTTTTTTAATTTTGACTGGTTACGATCACATACTTCGCTTGGCATCCAGGATAAACTTGGCGAACTTAATTTCGACAGTGGTTAAAAGGTTTTGTTTTTGCTTTTTTTGTTTTATTATTATTATTATTATTATTATTATTATTGTTGTTGTTATTATTATTATTATCGTCCTCACGTAATGTTTGCTTAGAGTCCTTAGGGCCGAGAACAAACCATGGTCCTGGGGCACTAGGGGATAGCCAGTTTTTAGCTTGATAGCACCCTCCTCAAAATGTGTGCTGTACCTAGTAAGGTTATTATTATTATTATTATTATTATTTTATTAAAGAGTAGAACTTCAAGAACACAAGAAGGAAAACGTCCTCTAATAGCTTTTTAGATTCCTTTCAAACATCTTCAATCAAATGAAAAGACACTATGCCAGTTTAGGGGAGACGAATTTTGTTTTTTCGAATGACGTCATGAAGCTTTTCCTGTACCAGGCACTGCGACTCCTTTGGAGTATCTGAAAATCTTGAGAGATGTTGTGAAATAAAGGATAGAACCTCGGTCTACCTGCCTTTGAATAAAACTGCAGAACATCAAGGACAAATACGCAATCTTGGAAATACTTACATGCATGATAGTTTAATAGTTTTCGACCTGCCTGCCAAACCATGTTCTTGGAAAAGTCTGAGGCTTATAAAATTGCTTTAGTTTTAAACTAACGATGGGAAATGTCACCACGAAATTTTAAGAAAAGATTAACATAGGGATAGTACAACAATGAAATTTATGGCATAGCGGGATTGCTCGTCTGAAAAATCACAAGACTCTCCTTTCTGTCGACATTGCGAAAATTCTCAAATCAAAAGTATCGACACTTAATGGGCTTTTCTAAATGTTCCCGGTTGTACAATGTTCCTAAATATCACCGTCGGATGAACACAGGTCTTGGTATTCCTAAGTCAAGGCTGATTTCATTCAAGTCAGTTCAGTGATTATTACGGTACAAGTGCAGAAATGGTCAAGCCTAGATAGGTGAGCAAGACATTTGACTTGTTTGATGAAAAACACATTTCAATCACCTGTTGTCAGATGCAAACTGTCAAACACATGCATGGGTCGATTCGGCGGACACTTAAGCGGCTCGTGAAAACAATTTTTATAGTATCTCATTAGTGAGATACTGATGAGATTTGTCCAAAAGACTTAGTTCCTCCATTTTTATCAGATTATTTCATTAGAAATCGCACTATTCACACTTACAAGAAAAGACAAAGGAACGACATTCGCCTACCGAACCCTGAGTTAACGCTAAGGAAAAACACATCTAGATTTTCAGGCGCGTTTTCTTCTTAATAATTTACCCACATCAGTAAAAGAAACCACGTCGCTTTCCATTTTTTAAGAACTCTCTTAGTTTTCCTTTTAGCCATTAGTTTTATACCAATATAATACTCAGATATACTTTGATAGTTCTCTTTTACTGTATTGATCTAGAAAAATTGTACTTCATAGATATGTAATTTCCTTTTTATTCGATTTTTAAACTCCTTGTACATAGCGTTGCGGTCATTTTTAAATACAAATTTGTAAATACAATGCAATTTTATCTTTTTAACTGAACCGTATAAAATTCTTCCTCTCTTTAAAAGGCAGAACTAGCCGAAAAGCAACAAAAACAGCACTAGCCGTAAATTCATTTCTGGAAAAGGTTATACGCTCTAATCTAAGAATATTCACAAGAAGAAATGTTCAGCCTAAAATCTTCAGAAAAATAAGATATTCAGCCTGGACCGGAAAAACAATATTCTTACAGAAAAAAAGAGCAGTGTATGATCACTACAATCTCTGACGCAACGATGGCTACGATCAATGGAGAGTCAATGGTTTACTTGGCATCCGCAACGATCACTGAACGTTTTTTTTTTCCGCATTGATCGCAGTGACCATATGAAAAGTCACCGTAAGAAACTCTTGTGCATTTCAGTTGTATTTCATTCTGAATGCGCCACTGAAGTCTACGTATGTCAGTCACTGGTTCCCGCTTTGCTGGGGAATTATTTCGGAGTAACTGGAGATGTATATGGTAAGAGCTTTTGTGGAATAAACAGGGCTGTCACAAGTTTTGATTCACCCGGCGTAACCTTGATCTTCACACACACCCGTAACAAACTTGTTCTTTTGTGAGTGAATTGTATCAACAGAGGCAAGTTCACCCGTAACATCCCAGAGGGCCCATCAAGCATACACAGCCAAAACAGGTGTGACAAATTACGGCCTGTATTGAGATAGAGCCTTGAATCAGGGTTTAAAATTGTGAGAGATGTTGTAAAATGAAGGAAGGGATCCTGTGTCATTATCTTTGGATGAAATTGCACAACATCCGATAGTTTGATAATTAATTTGCAACCCGCGTCAAACCGTCCGTGTTCTTAGTTGAACTGGCCTCCTTTTTTTCAACTTTCTATGGATCCAGAAACAAGACAAACATGACATACATAGATTCGAGGTTCCACCCCGGGATCATAACACAAAGCGGCATGCAAACTCGTTTTTGTGGCATCATGATGAAAATGTTTACACAATATCGCAGTTAATTTCGTTTCAGTCATGTTGGAACTATGCACTGTCTGGTCAGTTTGATCTTCCACCGTACGTTGACGATTTAAATTCTCTTTATTCTCGTCAACCATTTAAAGCAAAGCTGTTTTGTCAATTATTTAGCTAGATTAAAATATCTTTAATCCTAGTTATCATATGATCGCTTGCGATGGTGCGGGAATAAAGGAACTGGTCTCAGATATAGTTCGATTGAGATTTAGAATTATGATATCACCACATGGAAAAACAAAAAAAAATTAATGCGAGCTAACTCGTGCATAGTACGGCCAGGCAGGTTGACGTAAGCCGAACAAAGAAAAGAAAAATAGCCGTCCGGCCCCACAGAGACCTCACTGCGCTCTGCACGTTCGTCCCTTAAGACTTCGCACAAAATAGGTTATCGTCGGTCCTCCCACTGAGTCAATAACATTGATCGAGCTCTTTTTCGTTATTTTTGTGGACCGAGAGGGAGCAACCCTCACTATCGCCTTCAAACATATATGAAAACCACGCTAAATAGAAAACAGATTCGGCGGCAACGAGAAATGGCTCAAACGGAAAAATAGACCGCAATTCAGATCAGTCTAGTATCAATTAGTTTAGGCCGGGATTACAGGTGAGTTTTTCGTCTTGTTTCACTCTGTAAACCATTGAACAGGCGAAAAGAACTGAGTTAGTCGCCGGCTGCAAAGAAAAGCCACAACGAAAAAAAAACTCAATTTACCGTAATTTAATATTTTCTAAAAAATATTTAGATAGGCGAGGGATCACAGTTTTTTTTCTTTTTTTTTTCTGCTCACTTTTGCATGCCTTGGACGTTAACGCTCATGTGGGAGTACCGCGATCCCAAGAAGCTGCGCCAAAATTCGGAAGAAGAATATCCCTTCGGCTCCCTATTTTGCTTCTCATCCGTCATGATAAACATCTTTAACCCTTTCCCATACGATGGTCGACGATCCTCAAGCAAATCAATGTAGTCCGCATGCTGTGGGGAAGGTAAAATTTTGCTGATCATGTTTCCATGAAACGCTGAAGCAATGTCATGTATCGTTTCCTCCACGAAAGCGGTAGACTCCTCGCCATAAGTGTTTGTTTGTAGGAAGGAAAACGATTGCGTGTTTTCTTGAATACGTTCCATGAAGTCCTCGAGCCTTGTTTGTGTCACAAACTGGTTTCGAGCAACGAGAGGGCGACAGTCGATGGGCGGAAGGAATGTGATTTTTTTCAAATGCGTGCTTGCAGGTTTTGGTGAAGGAATATTTTCTGCCCAACACACGTCGTCCCACATCAGCCAGAAACAGTCAATTTCTTCAAATATTTCATCCGTCTGTCGAAAGGTGATGACTTGGTCTTGCCTTGTTCTAGCTTGCCTCGCTTGCCCGCTTTCCATGGCCACGAGAAATGGCACAGTTTCATCACAGAGGGCTGATTTTATGATGAAATTATTGTGCTGGAGTTATACACAGGCCCCTAGGTACACAAGCTTAGGAATAAAAACATTGATTACCTCAACCCTATCTTAATTATCAGTTCGCCATCATTTTT